GTGTGTGTGTGTGTGTGTGTGTGCGTGTGCGTGTGCGTGCGTGCGGGTGAGTTCGTGCATGGGTGACCGAGCAGTGGCTGGAGAGAGTGTGTTCCAGAGCCACCGAGCGGACTTCGGGCTAGCTCGGTGAGCCTCTGACGGCACCGTGTTATCGGGGTCTCGATCTGATATCTGGTGTCCTGCTCCGCTCCCCCTCCCCTTCTCTGGCTGACGCTCAACAGAACCGATGCTGTCGGCTGTTCCGGACAGAACGCTGCATCCTGTTCGGCACTGTACCGACTGCGCTTCTGCGCAAAAACACATCGTCGATGCTTGATGAATCGACGCCGCATCACGGGTAGTGCAATTTTCACAGCAGCGGTTGCCAGATCGGCGGACGCGCACGAGGCTGCACTTTCGCGCGTGGTCGACTTTCTCCGACACTGCCGAGACACTCTGAAGATCGTCACCCAGTCCACAATTGCATGGTATCGTTGCTGTCAAAGATGCTTCATCGCTCACTGTTGAACACCTCGTCGATGTCGGTCAAGCCGAGTCCCGTCACTCGGCTTGTTGTTACCTCTGGTGCCATACCGCTCGGCAACTCGATAGCCCGGACACCTCAGAACGCAAGCATGAGCCCCCTGTCGCGCACAGGCAGCCAGCCTCCAGACAGAGCGCCTTTGGCTTGGTCAGGCTCGCTGCGACTGGAGCTCTACAATTCCTGCCCGCATCGCAGGGTCAAACGGCCGCGCATCATCGGAGACAGAGCGTGGCGTTGGAGCGTGGCGTCCGCTCGGCCAGGTCCAGTCGCCGGGCCCGAGTGCGGGTTTGAGCTTCAAGATTGAAGTCCCGATCCTTCACATCGGGAAAAGCCCGAGGTCCACGCCAAGAAGATTGAGATCCAGCACACTCCACTTGTATACGGTCCAAGACTCAGCTCTTTCTCGAGGCGACGTTGACCCTTTCCTCACGCTCCACGGTCTCCTCCTTGCAGCTTCAATATGAGTGTCGTCACTCCAGACCAGCAGGATATTCTGCGCCAGCAGATCGCCGACATCGAGCGTCAGGAGGCTTCGTGTGTCCTTCCCGAGCTGACCAACGACACTGCATTCGAGCTTGGCTCGCTCATCCGCACTCAATTCCTCGAGTCCTTCAACCCAATCCAGGACGGCATTGTCATCTCCATCTCGCTCTTCTCTGGTCACACACTCTTCTCGTGCGCGGTAGGCAACCCGCGCAAGGTCGCTGCAGACAACTGGGACTGGGTCGCAAGGAAGGCCAACACGGTCAGAAGGTTTGGTCTCTCCAGCTACCTTGTCGGCCGCACGCGCCTGCTCAAGGGCAAGGATCTCGACGGCCTCGGACCCGAATATGCCGCGCACGGCGGTGGATTCCCCATCCGCATCAAGGGCATGACCGCCGGTCCCGTCGGCGTCATCGTCGTCTCCGGTCTCAAGCAGGAGGACGACCACGACCTCATCATTCGTGCTATCCGCAAGCTCCTCACCAAGCACCAATCCAGCTGAGCAACAAGCACTCTCGAATGAATCTAGAATCGCTCGCAGTCATCATGCCTCGTTTTGCCTGGTCCATCTTCCGTCATGAGTGTCGCACGCAGATCTGCACTCGTTTTAGAATCAGAATCATCTCCCGCGAGGGAGACAGCTTTTGGATTGCGTGAGCCGACAAGGTATGAACCCGTCGACACAAGTGCGAGTGGATGTATCGAACGTGCGTGATGGAATGTGTGCGGTGAGAGGTTGCTGATTGTACACGAACCTGCTGCATCCGCCGCGATCCCGGGGCGGGAAAATATGAAATGTTGAGGGGATAGGGCGGAATCGCGAGAGGAATGCAACAGGGTTCTGGGATGACCAAATCGGACTGCCGAACAAACTGGAGCTTGCTGTCGCACCTTGCCTTGGTCGCCTGATGTGTGCGAATCTTTTTGAAGGAATCGCACTGTCGGAAACGCTCGCCGAATCAACACCGAGGTGGAGTTCCGACCTAGACATGCGAGACTAGCGGGCGTGGAAACATGGGTGCATCAGGGCGAGACGAAGAGTGCAACGGAATGCAAGCCGTTTATCGGAGTCGTCGGGCCTCACGCTCGGACTCGAGGAGGGCAAGGATGTCGTCGACCTTGACGGGGCCCTTGACGTTGCGGATGATCGATCGGCGGGTCTCGTCCATGAACTCGACGCGAACCTGGATGATACCACCGCGCGAGCCGGTACGGCCGAGGACCTTGGTAACCTGTTGTAGCCAAGCATGAACCAGGAAGGAAACGGAACCGTGTAAGTGAAACTGCAACTTTTGTAACGAGCTCGGTCGAAGAGCGGCACGTCGTCCTTCGCCGGAGCAGCATGTCGAGAAGCGAGGTAGCAATGTGGAGGACAGCAGCAATGCAGTTGAATGTGTCGGGTCGTAAGCAAATGTAGAGATTGGGATCGTCGGTCCTAATGTCGAACGCTGAGACGCCCGCTAGAAACGTGCGCCGTGCTCAGGTGAGCCCTCTACGTTCTCGCAGGAGGCTGGCAGCGAATCGCGTGCGCCTTAGGTTGGCACACTATCCAAAGATGATTGGAGGAATTCGGACACCATCCCAGCATCGATGAGGACTACCATGCAGCCGCATTGACCGACAGCGCGTAAACCGAGCAAACGGGCTGGCTGGGAGATCGGCGGTACATGCTCGACGATTTCGGGACGTGTTGACAAGAAGTGCACTTGCGCCATAGAAGGCGCAAGACCTGTCCAACGCTGGTGCCGAGACCGTTCCGTCTCCGAAGATGCACTACCACTGATTGTGATCGCGCTTCGCGACACGCTGTCGATGTCGGATGTGGTCGCAGAGGTTCCGGGTGATCATATCATGTCCTGCTATCATGGCATTTGAACATCTCGAACGCACGTTTGCGCGTATGCCCAGCGAAGACGAAGTTTCCACCCATATTGGCGCGAATACCGGCATCAGAACTGTCGGCGAAGTAGCTGTTGATAGTGCTGTATGTGTCGATGCTGATGCTGGATGCCGCTGCTGCTGCCGCTGCTACTGCGTGTCGAATGCTGCTTCTGCTACTGCTACTGCTGGGCTGAAGGTGTCGATGTGCGCTGGTCGGATGGCACCGAGTGTGATGTGCTCTGAGTAATGATGCTTACGCGAGCGAGCTTGACGGGGACCTTAGTAGACTCCATATTGAAAGTGTTGGGCGATGGCTTGAAGGTAGGGAGGATGGCGGGCTGATGGCGAAGACCAATTCGAGCCTCGCGCTCACTCACTGCGCTCGCCCACCAGAGCTCCGCAAGACGCTCCCCTACCGGTCTGCTGCCTTGTCCTTCGCAACGGCCTAGAGACTGCCGGCGTGCTGCGCCAAAAGTGATTCGACATATTTCGAACCGATCTGCCAGCCAAAGGCGGCGCCTGCCTCACGTCTAGGGGCGCTAGTTGAGGATTCGAATCTTCGGATCCGACTTACGCAAAGCTCGGCCGAGGTCCAAAATTCACGCTTCACGTGGATGGAAGCCTTAACTTCACTTGTATATAGAAGGCAGTCTAACAAATGCCAAAAAAGCCCCTGGGATGGAGACTCTGCAGGGAAGAATCTCACAAGGGACAGAAATTGCGCAACCATTCTCGTCGATTGATCGGGGGGGCGACTAACAATGGACAAAGAAAAAGCTGCGCGTGGCGAAGGGCAGGCCACGAGGCACCGCTCAGACAGCGGGGACCGGTTTGCGGGGGACCTGCAGCGAAGCTCGCTCCTCGCGCATCTCCTTGCTGGATCTGCGAAGGCTCAGCCTGGCCACCAGAGATCGTCGGGGTGGGGCGTGCGTCTGGCGCATCGCCGGCAGCGACGCCGTGCGTGGAGTCGTCAGAGCGTCAGAGGCAGGCTGGATGGACTCGGATGCTTCAACGGGGCTGTCGGATGTGCCAGCTTGACAGTGCGAAACGACGGATGGAGTGTCGCTGATCTTGCGCGCGAAGCTGCGCCGGCGGGGCGGGATGGGTGGACCACCGCTACGCTGCTGCATCGGCGTATTGTTGCCACTGCCGAGCGAAAGGCTCGGGTACGACGGGCTCTTGCAGCGCGTTGGGCTGCTGGGAGCGAACGTAGCAGCGGCCTGGGTGTCATCAGCAACAGGAGGAGCTACGGAACCGGTGCCCACCTTGAGGTTCAGCCCGTGGCGCTCCTGCTGCTGAGCCTTGAATGCCTCTAGCCACAGCTTGGCCTGGCGCTGGCGGTCCTCCAGCATGATCTGCCGACCCGGAGCCACGTCGAAAGCCGGAGCGGCGAGGTTGCCAAGGGCATCGGTCGCGAAGGCCGAAGAGGGCATGTTGGGGCTCTTGAGCACGACGCCGAGGATCTTTTCGGTCGCCATCTGCGGCGTGGGCGGGGTGACCATGACTTCGACCTCGCCAAACTGGGCGCGCTGCACGAGGATTGGCGATGGACAGCTGACCGACCGAGCGTGCGGCACGGCGCTGGTAGGAGGCGTCCGTCGGCCGTACGAGCTGGATCCCGCACCTGCTACACGGTGAGAAATCTCGTCGAGCGAAGGCGGTCTTCGAGGCACTCCCTGGCCGAGTCGCATGGCGGAAGCACGGCGCTCGGGGATCTTGACGTTGCGGCCGAGCCGCTGGAGCATGTTGAAGCTGGCTCTACGACGGGCATCCGAGTCGCTGCCGCTAGAAGAAGTGGTGACAACACTGCCATCGCTTTCGTCGCTGGACGAGTCGTACTCGAGCCGGATGCGCACCGGCATGACTATGCTGTGACCTTCGCCCGATACATCAGCAGCCGATGCAGAGCGGGGAGGGTAGTACGTGAAGCCGACCACATCATACGGATCATCCTCCTCTTCCACCGCCTCTTCCAAATCACAGTGGTCTGGGTTGTCCCGGTCAGAGGTTTCGATCATCAAAGCCCCGCCGGTCGGAGCTAGCCGGCTGATCTTGCCCGTCATGGCGATCTGTGTGCGGTCATGCCGATTGAGCACCGGCTTGATGGGCAAGGTCACCTGCGATGCTTCCTCCTCGTTGCCATCGACTCCAAGGCCATCGGATGATCCTTCCGATGGCCATGCTCTTGACCAGGCCCAGTTGCCGTCAGAGTCAAAGCCTCCCACAGCCGGACCTCGCGGAGGCTCGGTGCCGTGCAAAACTGCATGGCGGTAATGCGGAGGCGACGACTCGGGCGTCGTAAGGGTATCTGCGCCCGAGTCGACGCTCTCGGCGCTGGTCAAGCTGTCAGCGTCGCCGTCGTCTTCGCTCTCGCCTCCAGACTGGCTGTCGTTGTCGTACCACACGCTCGACCGGTTCGAACTAAACGGACGTCCTTGGTGTTTCTTCGGTGTGGAAGCGTGACGGGCCATCTGAGCTGCCAGAGATGCTTGAGCCATCCTGATCTATCCTGAAATGCAGTTGCTGGACGAAAGGCTCTTGGATGTACAATAAGAGGAAGTCCGAAGATTAGATGCTCGGCTAATGCTCGACTGAAGAGGAAAAGAGTGTGTTGAGGGAATCGGGGCCGGCCCAATCTTGAAGGAGGTAGTATTCGTGGTGAAGAGTGGGGATCGAGGAAAAGGAGCGGAACCAGAAGCGCCGGGCTTCGTAGGAGCGGTTAGCAGACGACAGAAACAGACGGTGGAGACAAAAGGACACTGACAGAGACAGGGCATCATAGCCAGCACGGATCTTCGATTTGCTTTTGTATGAATTGAGCTTACTGTAGCACGAGGCGCTAGGGGTGGAGCGCAATCATGCCTCTGCGCTGGCACGCCCCACTAGACCGGTGTGGGCAAGAGGAGGGACCCGGTCCATGAAGCCTCAATCGACAGACGTGCAGGAAGTCCTGACGTTGCTGCTTCATGTGGCTTGGCTCGTCCGGCCTGACCGCATCACACAGAAGACTGAGGGGAGCCAACGCAGCCAACGCCCACTTGGGCGTGCACAGGTGGCTGCATGATTGCGAGCTAGCTCACGGGCTGCTGCCGAATAGATTCTGCTTGATCCAGGACGACGCCCCGTTGCAGGCTGGCGACTTGATGGATCAGCGAGATTTGACCCGCAGTCTCATCGTTGGCAGCTCGCACGACCCTGCATCGTGACCTGCTGATCTCAGAGCAGCGACGTGTCGTCCCCCCTGCGGGATGCGCTATGTGACGCACTCGGCGCATCCAGCTTCCCAGCTGCATCACCAGCTCGCATTGAGGCGGCCTACGGTGCATTTAGGCAGCCTGCCGCAGGCCGAACCATCTGAGGTGCAATGACAAGTGCGAACCAACGGACTGCGTTTGCAGGCGGTTGAGCTGGTCGAGTTGACGCAATCCACGCAACAGCTCATTTTTGCTTTCATATGCAGGGCCCAGCCCGCCCCTCTGGCGCTCTGCCGCTGTGCAGGGCCAACAAAGAAAATCCCAAAACTGATCCTGAGGGTCGCGTCGGCGCTGTTGGACGCCTTGGCCCTCGGCCTTGCTCTGGACCCTGGACCACGCATTTCGCTAGCCGAGCCGAATCCAACTCCGCGCCTCCGCTCCACCACCACACACGCTAGATCGTGCTCAACGGTCCTTCGTGATGAAGCTGCGCCCGGATCACCGGTTCACAGCCAGAAAAGCTCCGTCTTGTCTGGACACCGCTATCTTGTCAATATGAAGCGAAAGAAAGGCCGTCCCCTCAACGATCAAGTATCGACGCCTTTTGAATGGTGTTACGATTGCGAAAATACAGATGTAGCGGGAAGGAACCGTCGCACGGTTGGGAAAAAATGTCTAGAATGGGTGGGATATGCACAGAAAGGGGAAAGTTTGAAGTGATTAGGAGCATCCCGGTCGTTCACGCATCGGTGGCGGCGCTGTTGGCCTTCTCGGCAGCGGCAATGCGAGCAGCGACGGCGAGATCGGGTTTGGAGGTGCCCTTGTTGAGGCTAAGGCTGCGGGTAGGCGTAGCGGCGCCGGGTGGGGTAGTGGCGGGCTTGTCGTCGGTCTCGCCGGCATCCCTGCGCTTGATCATCTCGGACTCGGAGATCATGTGGCTCTTGGGGTGGGGCGGGACGTAGTTCTTCTGCACGGCCAGCTGCTCGTCGAGCAGACCTGCCGAGGCGGCGATGAAGCCGAGGAAGGGCGGCGAAGGGTTGAGGGGACGCGAGCAGAACTCGGGATGCGCCTGCATGCCGACAAAGTACGGGTGGTTGCGCAGCTCGGCGATCTGCATGCGCTCGCCCTTCTCGTCCCTGCCGACAAACTTGAGCTCGTCGATGCCCGCCGGCTCAGCCTCGGCGGCAGACGGGTAGCCGAGCCGCGGCGAGGTGAACGAGGGCAGCGGCGGCGAGGTGGCCGGAACCTTCTGAGGCGCGGCCTTGGCGGCGAGCGAGGGGTTGGAGGCCGCACTCTCGATGCGCTCCACGTACTCAGGGTTGACCTCGTATCGGTGGCGGTGGCGCTCCCAAACGACGGGCTGGCCGCCGTAGAGCTGGTGGATCTTGCTCCACTCCTCGGTGCCCTTCTGGAAGATGGAGGGTCGCAGACCGAGACGCATGGTGCCGCCGAGGTGGGTCTTGCTGATCTCGGGCATATAGATGATGACGGGGTCCTTGCAGTCGGCGTCGAGCTCCGCCGAGCCGGCGGTCTCAATGCCGAGCACGTTGCGCACGTACTCGATGACCGCGATCTGGAAACCGAGGCAGATGCCGAGGTAGGGCACCTTCTTCTCTCGCGCCCAGCGGGCGGCGCTGATCATGCCCTCGGTGCCGCGGGTGCCGAAGCCACCGGGGACGAGGATACCCTTGGCGGAGCAGAGCGCCTGCCAGGCCTGGTGGTACTTGACGGGGTTGTCGCTCTCAGCGGCGGGCTCAAGGTCGCTGGACTCGACCCACTTGAGCTCGAGCTTGCGGTGGCATCGAAGTGCGGCGTGCTCGAGCGACTTGACGACGGACATGTAGGAGTCGTGCAGCGAGGTGTACTTGCCGACGAGTACGATCTCGACCTTGTCGATCATGCGGTCGTGGCCGACGGTGAGGTCGCGCCAGCGCGTCCTGAGCTCGCGGCCCTGCTCCTTCATGGGGCGTGGGATGCTGCCGTTGACGTCGAGGCCGAGACGCTTCTGGAAGAAGCGAACCATGCCTTGCTCCTCGAGGAGGAGGGGCACGTGGTAGGTGGACGAGACGTCGTGCACGGCCATGACCTGCTCGGGGCCGACGTGGCAGAACATGGAGAGCTTGTTGATGACGGCGGGCTCGAGCGGGACGGGGCAGCGGGCGGCAATCATGTCGGGCACGAGACCGAGGCCGCGCAGGTCGCGGATGGCGGCCTGGGTGGGCTTGGTCTTCTGCTCGCCGCCGATGACGGGGACGAGACTGACGTGGATGAGGGCAAAGTTGTCGTGGCCCACGCGGAACTGGAACTGACGCATGGCCTCGACGAAGGGGGCGGACTCGATGTCACCGACGGTACCGCCGAGCTCGATGATGCAGACCTCGGGCGACTCTCCGCTGCCATCGACGGGACGCTGAGCGACGCGCTCGATCCAGTCCTGGATGGCGTTGGTGAGGTGGGGCACGATCTGGACGGTCTTGCCGAGGTAGTCGCCCTTGCGCTCCTTCTCGATGACCTCCCTGTAGATCTTTCCGGTGGTGATGTTGTTGTCGCGGCTGAGGGTGACGTCGAGGTAGCGCTCGTAGTTGCCGAGGTCGAGATCGGCTTCTCCGCCGTCGTCGAGGACGTAGACCTCACCGTGCTCGGTAGGCGACATGGTGCCGGCATCGATGTTCATGTAAGGGTCGACCTTGATTGCGGTGACACGGAGGCCGAGCGTCTTGAGGAGCAGGCCGGTGGACGAGGCGATGACGCCCTTGCCGATGCCCGAGATGACACCTCCGCTGACGACGATGTACTTCATGGTGCCTGTTGGACCGTCAAGACGATGCTAGGGTGGTGGAGTGTGGTGTTGGACGGAGCTTGTGTGATGAATGCTAGAAACCGCCGCGACGACCTCGAATCGCAGCGTCTCTTGCGGGTATGTGGTCGAAGGAGCCGGGTGGTGTGTCGATGCAGCGTCCACGGTGAGAGCAGCACCAAGGGCGTCAAGGCAACGGAGAAGTAGGATAAGGTAGGAGGTGACGAGGCGATCAGTGTCGCGCCTCGCTTGATGTCCACCAAGCTTCTCGCAGACTGAGCCAGGCCGCCGACGCGAGATGGAGAGACGTTGGCAGCGGAAAGCGGAATGCAGCCGACAAGCTCGCCGTGGAGTGTCGAAATTTTTTCTGGTCCGAGACCTCTTTTTTCCCCTTTTTTTTTTTTT